GGTTACCACTATCTGTGCGACTATGATGTGAGAATGTAAAAGTGACAGCAAAAACTTCAGTTACCTAGTTGTTCTCAATCATCGAACTTATACCACCTCTCTTCCAGTTTCATTCACTTACTTAAGTCAATCAATTTCAAGGTACGCAATTCTTTCTGAGTCATATGGTAGGTGCTTCAAGAGGATTTCCCAATTTTCCTAATAACCCGTAAACTGCCGGGACTCATCGTACGCATTACAATGTTAATTCTTTTCAAGCAGTTTCAGCATTCTTTAAAGGCAGTCACTACAACTCCAGAAAAACTTTACATCAAATCAATAAGCTTTAATGAAATCCACGTGTAAAAGATTCATAAAATCTTGAAATGATTGCATACCTGACAAAAATCACCAATGCACACGTCGCTAGAAAACGTTTTCAGATACAGGTCGTAATAAGTATCAGGTTGAATGCCTAAATGGAAAGGTTCGTCGTTAATGCGAGAGATCAGCTCACACGTAAATGAAGGCAGTTAGGCTCACATTCCGATTTTAATTCGATCGATAAGCCAATAGTTCTGTCCGTCCGTCGAATGACGTTCACACTTTCGGCATAGCAGTTTCCGTAGTAACAGTTGATCGGTATTTCGGCCATTCTGGAGTTGCCGTTTGTTCAATATACACAAATGAACGAGCATCATAAATACATACCAGAAATTATGCATTACCGCAATATGAGAACATGCAAATGACCACTGAAATGGGGATCAACAATCGCATGCAACGTAAGCTTGAAATACTGAAATGGGGATCAGCTCAGTCCAAAAAAAGAACTAAAAACGGTCAAATGGAAGCTGAAGTGGAAAGCAAGCTTTCTTTACTATGCAAGCATTGGAACTGATTGAACAACTGAGTCTCAGTATGACTATGGTGTTAAATTACTTTCAGTTCACTAATGATAAGGTTGTAGAACGAATTCCAGCTAAGTGAAGTTTACTGCCTTTGGACCTTGGCATCAGAAGCTCCTTTACAACGAACAATTATGTACAAATAAACCTGTTTTGTCTAGGCTATGTACCGTAATTTTTCGCGCTTATAGTCGGCATAAAACGAATATTGATGGAATGATCCATGATGTATCGACGCATCGTTAATGTTAAAATATCATGCGGTGAACCATTTCAATTACCTTTTAAGAACTTCAAGAACCTTGGAGTAATGAGGTGGTTTCATAACATCATCCATCCTTCTGGGTAGAGTAATGCGCTAAGTAATATACTCCCAGTGTGTGAAGCCACATTTTTTGTTTAGCGAGAGCAAGCATATAAGGAGTGCTGTCAGTAAAACAACCGTAACGAACAACATACCGCTCTATTCATTAAAGTCATGCTAGAAGAATGGATATACTGAAAGTGTTAAAATGTTCTACAGCCGCGATGTAACTGTCCCCACAGACCGAGTTAGCTCAATGGGTACCACACTGAGTGCGGAGTCAAAAGACTGCAGATCTGAATCACGGCTAGGGTGCACCCAACCGCGAACAGACGAATGACGTGGTCTTGTTTCAGATGCATTTCAAACGCGAAAGAACGCACATTTTAATTTTATTACTAAGAGCACTGTCTATTAAAGCTATAGACCTTATTAGACCTAGAGAAATTATAGACCTTTTGTTACTCAAATGATTGTGTGAGAAAGAGTAGGGGCAATTACAGGAGTTAACTTAATTATTAAGACATCGAGAAAAGGTACACTTGAACTATTCTCCTTTTCAATGGATAGCTCTATATCTCGAGGGAAAAGGCCACTAACAAGGTTTAGCACTCTATTTTCATTTCCACTAGAACAGATGGCAAAATTATTGTCAACATATATTTATAAAAAAAAAAACTTTGGAAAACCTTCTCAATAGCCTCCTCACTTAAAATACATCGTCTA